TCAACTTAAAGTCAAACTTATAACTTATAACTTAATAACTTATTGGGATATTACACAAACTTACGAAGGTACTCCTTGAAGATTGAATTCATCGCAAACTGAAATGTCGACGTCACATTGCATAAACCAAAAGGCATCACGAGATATTCGTAGTGCCCTTGGTGCGTGCGAAAAGCCGTCTTGGGCACGTCCTCCTTGGCCAAACTGATCTGATGGTAGCCTGCGCGTAGGTCGAGCTTGGAGAAGTAACGCGCGCCACCCAACTCGTCCAGCATATCATCGACGCATGGAATGGTAAAACGATCCTTCACGGTGGCTGCATTGAGAGCGCGGTAGTCCGTGCAGAACCGCCACGTGCCGTCCTTCTTTTTCGCGAGCAGCACCGGTGACGAGAACGGGCTCGTGCTATGCTGGATGATTCCGGACTCAAGCATCTCGCCCACCTGCCGCTCGATCTCTATCTTCTGAAAGTGCACGTACCTATAGGGATGCACGTGCACTGCTCGACCCTCCTCGACCAGAGGTATGCGATGGTCGAACTCCCGGTGCGGCGGCAATCCCTTGGGCTCGTCAAGGACCTGGTCGAACTCCTCGAGCAAGTCACGCACCTCGCGCTGCCTCTCCTCGACCGCCTCAGCATCGAGGACCTGGTCGAACTCCTCGCCCATCTGCTCGACCACGACAGCGTACAACTGTCCGCTACCTTGCCACACCTTCTCGATGTTTTTTAGACCAACCTCCTTGGTTGCTCCTTCACAAGCCTTCAAGGTAACGAGCTGGTCATCGACCTCGAACTTCATCACACCCTTCTGGTAATTAGTCGTCACATCTCCTAGTCCCTCGAGCCACTGCACCCCAAGCACCACATCCGGCCCCACTAAAGGTAAGGCAAACAAATCTACCTTCACCGTCACTCCTTGAAACTTAATCGGCACTCCCCGGTACATCTCTGAGCACCGCAAGCGCTCGCCGTTCGCCACCCTGACCTCAAACGGCTCAATCGTGGTCGTGGGTAACTTGAGTTTGTGCGAGAGAGTTGCATTAATGAAATTGTGCGACGACCCATTGTCCACGAGGACCGTAACCCGCCTATCCTTCAACCACGCCGGTAACTTCATAGTCCTCGGGCCTTTAGTGCCCGCCATCGCATGGACTGAGATCTCGTCCTCATCATTGAGCACCTCGACCTCCCCCTCCCGTTCTTCCTCGATCATCGGCTCCTCGTCATCCAAGTTCACGAACTAGATCAAGAAATTCTGCTTGCACCGATGTCCCGGCGTGTACTTTTCCTCGCACCGGAAACACAGGCCCTTCTCACGTCTCCGGGCCATCTCATCCTCCGTCAACCTCTTCACCTCGGTTGCCGGTGGCCTAAAGGTGCCCGGCGGCCTCGCGTTCGCACTAGGTGCGCCCACGGTTGCCGGCACACGTCGCGGCTCCGGGACGCGAAAATCCACACGTCCCCTTCGAGTCGCGGCCAAGTGATCCTCCCGTCTCCTAGCAACCTCCATGGCCTTGTGCATGGTCTCCAGCCTCTCCAATCGCACTTCGGCCATGAGATCATACCTAAGCCCTCCGATAAATGCGCCAACAAGCGCGCTCTCCGGCCACCCGTGAACCCGGCACGCCAATATTTCGAACTCCTTTTGGTAGTCACGTACACTTCATGTCTTCCATATCCGGGTCAGCGCCTCATTGTGGTTATGATAATCTGAATTCCCGAAACGTGTAAGGAGCTCACGTTCAAAATCTTCCCATCGGATTGGTTGTTGCCACCCGCGATATACGCGCGTGAGCCACTGCCACCACACGTTGGCCTCGCCATCTAAATAGTACGCGGCATACCGAATCCAGTCACATTGTGTCATCTCATTTAAGTCGAAGAATTGCACTGCCCTGTTCATTTAAGCGTTGGGGTTGGTTCCCGTGAACGTCGAGAGCACGATCCTTGGCTTCTCGACACGGCCTCGCTCATGTACATTCGACGCCTGCGACCGCTGGTCATATTCTTCTTCCTCCTCGGAGTTGTGCTCAGCCCGATGCTGCTCCTGTTGCCTTAGGCGCTCGCGTGCGTTTACCCGGGGTGGCTCCTGGCTCTCCTCCAGGCGTTGCTCGAGGCGAGCCACGGCAGCATTGGTGCTGATCTGTCCCTCATCGAGCGATCCAAACCGATCCTCCATGCTCTCGCTCATGGCCTTGAATTGGCATTCCAATCCTTAAACCTTTTCCTTCAACTCTCGATTAGCCATATATTTTTTGGCTTGTCTACGTTCTCGACTTCCCGGACTAATTTTGATTGATTTTTTTTTAAATGAATGAAAATTAAAAAAGAAAAATTAAAAGAGAATGGGAAAGGAAAGACACACGATCGCCTCTCTCAATGAAAGCACCAATGATGAAGACCGTGTGTCTCGATTGCCGACAAGCCGCTCTCGCGCCTTAAATCGCCGATACTGTGCTCGGAGGATCACACACTCGCGCCCCTTCGAACGATATTTTGCAATAGAACACTTATCGTAAACTAAAGCAAGAGATTTGAACAAAGTTCGGTTTTTGTATTAAGAAGAATCTGTAATATCCCAACTTTTTATCAGTATAATAATATTTCAGTTCCGATATTATTTTCAGAATTAATTATTTTCAGTTATTTCAGTCAACATTACCAGAAAATATTTTCGACGTACCGTTTGCGTTCGGAATAATTTTGGTAAATTAGCATTATGTTTAATTAGTTAATTAAACATAATTAAGGGATTAATTTTACTTAATCATGAGATTAGTAATTGTTCGGATTTAATTCCGAGTTCATGTTCATAGCCGTTCATTGTTCAAGAGCCGTGCGTGTTGAATGTGCGAGTGTCTCGGTCCACCTCCGCGCGAGTGCCGTGCATGTGAGTGCTCTTGTTCGTGAGTTCCGCCAGGCACAAGCCTTGATGACCGCGCGCTATCCCTCGTCCGTATGCATGGGCGGAGTGACCGAGACCGTGCGTGTACCCGTGCGCCTCATTGCATGGGCGGAGTAACCAAGGTGCCTTGTCCTCATTAT